AGCTGCGGGGCTCCCGCTTGCACCGGGCTCTCCTCGCCGGGCTGGCCCAGGCGTCTGCGCCGAGGTTCGTCGCACATCTGTATTCATCACCCACGGAAAGACAAACAGAACAAGAGCGGGAAAAGGAAGGAAAAACACGTTCTTACCTAGCCGAACCACCTATTGCTTTTTTTCCCCACCGGGAAACCCGACAAGTTGCCCGTTTTCGCAGGCACGGGTGAATTTCGTAATGCCGCGATTGCGTTTTGAACTTTTTTTTTAAAACAAAACCCATTTGCGCGATTGCGTTTTTAACATTTATTTTTAAAATAAAAACCCATCGATGCACTCTAGGCAATATCCTGCGTTTGGCACTGCCTAGCAGTAACTGTGTAGAAAGGGCATGCACCTCAGCTTTCTGAAGGGGTTTATTTCCAACCTTCGAATGTAAAGCTTGCGAACTTGCAAACCAAAGGACGACAAAAGCGTTTGGAATTTATGAAAAAAATAACACCTCTTTAGGATAGCAGATAAAACTGTCCCACGCGATTTAGGGAGGCGGGGTTAGCACAAGCAGCGTGGGTGACAGCTCGCCCTGCTCTGCAGGAGCATCAGGCGAGCTGCGGGCTGGGGGCCGGCCAGCACAACCAGTGCGAGAGAGAGCTCGGATCTTTTTCGGGAGGGGAAAAAGAATTCGGAGAAGCCACAGTTTAAGAACCGGATCTGAGGAAAGGTGTCTACATTTCTCTAATGCCAAAGACGGGGAGAAGTTCATCTGAGGGATGTTAGAGGTGGAGAGGTCGAGACAGCGGAGCACATCGCGGCCTTTGCATTTAGCAAGCTGTGTCAGAAGCCACTCGGGTCACGGCACAGCGACGGCCGGGGCGCTGGGGCAGGAGTGGGGACACAGTCCCCGTGGGCTGGGGCAGAGAGTCGGCTCCCCTGCAATACGGGCACGGGATATTTTGAGAGGGAGGCAGAACACATCCCGGTGTCTTTGGTGGCTTCCTGCTATCTCCTCCGTTCTGACGAGGGAAAAAGCGCTGCAAGAGCGAGGGCGGGCTGGCAGCGCCCTTTGAAGCTTCGAGAACGTGTTGACTGCCCACGGACGGGCGTGGGGGGACCCCGGGCGGCCCCTCCGTGGGCCGGGGGGCGGCTGCCGCCGGCTGTGCCGCAGGCGGGCATCCCACCGACACGGCATAAATAACCTCGGGACGGCCCCCGGGGAGAGGGGTCCCTGGGGGGCTCCGCCGGCCCCAGGCCCTCGGGTTCGGCCGACATCTGTCTCTTGAGCTTGTTGCGACGGTTCTGGAACCAGATCTTCACCTGGGTCTCGGTGAGGTGCAGCGAGGCGGCCAGCCCGGCCCGCTCCGAGCTGCTCAGGTAGCGCTTCACGTCGAAGGTGGACTCCAGCTGGAAGACCTGGCTGCGGCTGAAGACCGTGCGGGTCTTCTTCTTGCGGCAGGGTTTCTTCTCCGGGCTCTCCTCCCTTTTCTTCCAGTCCTCCGTTCCTCCCTCTTTCTTCGCCTCCTCCGAATCGCTCTCCTCCAGGACGATCTCGTCGGGGCTCTTGGAGTCCGGTTCCTTCTGCTCCCCCTCCGCCTTCAGCGGCGGCTCCGGGGAGTCCCGGTCGGTGCCCGAGGCGGGGGACGAGTCCCTCAGCAGGGATTTCTCGGCGGCT